ACTTCAGTGCCGCTGCTGTGCTGCAATATTGTAGAGCCGACGTGGAGGAACCACTTCGATCTGTAGTGGTTAAGTGGATGGAGATTGACATTCCCGGCGCCTCTTTAGGCCTCGTACGCAACCGAGACTACGTTTACGTTGAGAGCTCTGGCATCCTTCGTCTCAAGAATGGTGAACGCGTCGGCTACCACTTGTTTCACTCCGTCAGCTTTCCAGAAGCTCAGGAACTGCCAAACCGAGTACGTGGCAACATGTCGTTCTGTGGAATTTTCCACCAGGAAGGCCCCGATCGAACAGACTGCCGCGGGACAGGAATCATGGACCCAGGAGGGGACATGATCCGTGTGATGGCGGTAATAGGCATGGTACAGGCAACCATGGCTGGCTTAAAGTACTCGTATTGCGGGCAAATGAAGAAGTTGGCATGGCTGCTAGAGCAGCGACACACTCAGGCAAAGGAGCGTGGAGCTCCAGTCGCTGAACCAATGTGCGTGACTTGCTTCAACCCGATCAAGAACTCAAAGTTCAGTATCGGCAAGTCCAGTAGCACTTGCAAGTTGTGCTTTGGAGCTCTTTGCGGCACGTGTAAGATCTCCAAGAAGCTGAGTTTCATCACTCCAGACCTGGAGCTTGCCCAGCGCAAGGTCAACTTCTGTGTCAAGTGTCTCGTTGAGGCCACTCGTATGGACACGCTGGAAGCTGCACGCCAACAGTTCGTCTACAAGAGACGCGTCCAACCAAGTGTATATGGCTCATCCGTTGCGTCCGATGCGAGCTCAGGCTCCGACGTTACGAACTCGACGAGATCTCACGAAAGCATCACCTAGTCACGACCATTTCCCGAGTATAGACCATTTCTTGGCCCAAGATGCACAACTTTCCACAAAAACAGAATACAATGTAGAGGGGTTGGATACACCTGAGAAGCTCACAATGATGTTCACTCAGTTTCCAGGCAAGCATTGACCAGGCCATGTTGAAGTAGAATGTCCGTTGACAAGGAGCGTACCAGCGAAATCTTACTCATTCACCATTTAAAGAAGGAAGTGCCTACGTTCACGAACTATTGGGTAGAAAAAGGCAGGGAAAAACTACAAACTGGGATACCGACGGCTTCGGTATTAGCGGTTCAGTTCTGAATTCAGATTTTTAAAAAAATCGAGCGGCTAGAAGGACCTGGCTTCATTCGCCCCACCCACCCCCGGTTCGCCGCGCTCCATTAACGCTCACCTCCTTCTATCGCTACGATGTCTGCTGCGACGCCCAAGAAGAGAAAGCGCGAGGAGGAGAAGGAGGAGGAGAAGGAGGAGGCTACGGAGCCCATGCAGGAGTTCCGCCAATTCCAAGGCGTATTTTCGTGCTGGGAAGCATTTCAAGATGCCTTTGATAGGTAAACATGAAGTTGTGCATTGTTGTGAATTAATGAACGGTGTGCACTAATGTATCGCTATGCTTCCTTCAGCTATCAGCAGGAGACACACCAATTATACAAGATTCGCTCCACCGTTTCAGTCAAAGACCGCAACAAAGCTCGCACCAAGCAGGCTGCGAGACGAAAATCTACTGCTGAGCTATGGGACGAATCCCTCGGCAATTATGCGGTGTATTTCATTTGCACACACGGCTGGCAGTTCAAGCCAAGAGGCCAAGGAAAGCGGACTAACCACATTATCCGGGCAATCCAGTGCCAGGCTAAACTGAGCGCCAACTTGAAGGATGGACTGTTCCAAGTTCGAGTTTCGAAACATTACGCAAGCCACAACCACGCCGTCGGCCCTGCCGTGTACTATTCGTATTCAGAAGCCCGACAAGTCAACTCCCCCGCCACGAAAGGCGTTGTGAAAACTCTCGTACAAGGTACAGTGTTGATCTTGCTTACAGACCTGAGCGTGTGTCTAAACGTACTATGCAGGCGGGTCGAAAAAGAAGAAGATATTGCGGTATCTTAAGGAGGTTTCTGGGAAACCTATCTTGCCTAAAGACGTGGAGAACCTTATAGCGAAGATGCGGAGAGAAACCTACACATCGCAGGACGATAACGTGCGCGTCTCGCAGCTACTTAAAGACTTCAGTGAAGGTCCTGGAAACGCTGTCAACGTGTTCAGAGACCAACAAACAGGTCTGACATCATGCATCACCTTTCAAACGGCTTTCATGAGGCGAATGACTCGCAAGTTTCCAGAGGCAGTGTGTATCGACGCTACATACGGTACAAACATCAATCGGTACGCATAATTGGTTTTGCGATCACAAACTCGTGGATTGTTGGTTGACTAATCACCAATTTTTATGTTATGTGCGCATATAGATATCGATTATTTAGCTTTATGGTCACCGACAAGTTTGGATGTGGTGCATTTGCCCAACACGCCATTATCGATGGAGAGTTTCTCCTGACCAGCACTCAACACTAGACGCTGGTCCGCCGACAGCGCTACGGTGTTGATCCCGCCCATACGCTGGATGTGGCTTGAAATTCTACGCTCATTACGCAGATCCCAGCAGAGCAAACTACGATCTCGACTGCAAGAAATCACGTGCAGGTCGTCACGATACAAGGCCAGACTCGTGACAGCCATCGAATGCTCCTTGAGGTGTGAGACCAAGTCACGTTTGCGAATA